ATATATAATTTGGATCAGTTAAACGTTGTCCGAGCAGCGGAGCGGCAAAATGTGACATTTTTTCCCAATTTTTGACAAAAGTAAATTTGCTCCCGTTTGCACAAACCAAACCGGATTTGCACCAAATTTTTATCCATTGTTCAGCTCCAGGGTCTAGGTCATTTGAAAGTTGAAATATTGAAATTGGCTCATTAGCGCCCCCTACAGACCATGTTAAAGGGTTATATGGGCTTTTTAAAATTTAGTTTTGTCAAAATGTTTGAAATTTTGCACATAATTCTGTTTTGTCATCTGGATTCAAAAAGTCAATGACAACATATGATTATTTTTTACCCTGTTGCCATGGCGACGACCAACACTCCCCTGTCTGTGTTTATGGGAAAATCATTTTATGTCTGAAAAGTACACCTCGCTCAAACATCAAACCAGCCGCGGCCATTTCACTAATTTGTCTGAAAATCGCTCCACATGGTCTCAACACATGGACCATCAATAGTTGCATATAGAATTTGAATTAGTCAAACGGTCTGAGAGTGACAGACTCCCAAAATGTGGTTATTTACATAGAGAGGTGTGAAGTTCCCATGTTATCCAATGGAGACTGTATGGACACACTCACAGATTGTATGTGCAAACAGGAGCACATTTACAAACTCTGATTTGCACTAAACTTGACTCGGTTGTTCAACTTCTGGGCCTAGGTCACATGACAGTGTGAACAATGACATTGGCTGATTAGCGCCCCCTACAGGCTGAGTAAAGGTTTACATGGGGATAAACGTATTTAGGTTTTCTGTAGTTTGATCTCATATTTGACCCACTGAACAAACACGAAAACTCACCAAACTTTGCCACAAGTTTTTTTCAAGCATAAAGTGTATTATTTTAGTGTTCTTTGGTATAAGACTAAAAAAATTAAATTGTAGGGGGCGCTGTTGTACAACATTAAATGCCACCATTTTCACATACAAAGTCCGATTTGCACAAAATTTGAATTGATTGTTCAACTCTTGGGTTCGAATAAACTGAAAGTGTGAGTAATGAAATTGCAGCAATAGTGCCCCCTACAGACTGATTCAAGTGTTACATGGGGAGAATGGGGTTTACCTTTTCAGTAGAGACACACAATCACTGACCATAGGCATTCAAAATGCACAGTGTCGCTCCCGTCAGGGCAGTGGGAAAAGATGCCGCTTGCGGCTTTAATTTATTCTGTTTTTGCCTCTACGTCCTGCCCCCTGTGGTCTGTTCCAACGTTTCCGCTGGACCGAGCTTCCCTAAACTGAGAACACTGTGTTCTATTGTGATGTCCACTCTATGTCTGTACTCTTAGATAGCCTTAGACTTTCCTCCTCAAAGTTTTCCTTTAAAAATATATGTAGAGATGAACTCTGAATGCTCTGCTTCAACCATTCTTCAATTGGTACTATAACTTTTCTGGCTGATGGGGTTTCTGCTCTTTGAACTCCTGAGAATTTGTTTGTATTATTTTCACAAGTGGAGATGGGCACTGGGCTAAATCTGGCAGCAACATCATCTGGAATCTGTGGAATCCACTGTATGTCACTACTAATATCATGAATGTTGAATTTTAGCTCACGCTCCAGAAAATCGCTTAGCTCTGCGGTCCTCTCCCCAGTCAGATTCTAAGAGCTCAGGTTTGTTCCGGTTTAAAGTTTGTAAAGTGAACTCTCTCTCAGACTACAGAAGTCTGTTGGGAGGTGGTACATTCTGTTACAGAGGAATGTATTAAAGATCTAAAGTGTGTGCATTTAAAGAGTCTGAGGAGTTGATGCTGAAAATATCCAGGTTGAAATTCAGGCTTGTCTGCGTTGGCTGAAATGTCTTTGACTGAAGACATAGGTATAGAGGTCTTACTGGAACACAGAAATAGTCAAGAGGCGAGCTGAATGAAGGACCCAAAATGCAGGAATGCAAAAGAATAATAATCTAATCATAATAAATACAAGTCCAGGGAAAAATCAAACATCAAAATCCAAACTAAACACAGGAACCAGGAACCAAGACAATGGACCAGCAACAAGTGGGAATGAGCACAGGTGCATATAGACACAGAGGCCCAATCCCCACAGTGCACCCTACACCCCTCTACGAAGTGTGCATTTGTTTGAAGTGCACGCAAGGGTTTGAGTGTGCAGGTTACAAGCGTGCAAAAAAAGCGGAATTGGGACAGTTCACACTGAGAGCAGGTTACGTCAGCGACTAGTCAAGAGATGGTCATTTTCAGACCTAAACTTTCATTTCGTCTGACCCTGTGGGAAACAAAATGAGTTGCTCCACACACGTTAAAATACAGTACATGTTTATTGGTTATTCGTAGTTTGAGATAGCTGTATATCTTTTAAGTTAAATGTGGGTTACTAACTGTTATCTGGTCAGTTTTTATACAGCCTAAGTTTATTGTACTAAGTGTAAAGTTTAAATTGAATGTTATATGAATGATTGCTTTAAAAAAGTTATTAAATTGTTAGCATAGAATGTCCGTAATTCTTCAATTAGTCTCAGTTTTCAAGTATCCATCCATTTTCTACCCCTTAATCCATTTCTGGGTCGGGGGGGGGGTGACCAGAGATGCCACCCAGTAAACATAGCACCAGCCCCTCACTGATCCTCCTGCAGGTGGTGAGTCCACAGGAGGATGGCCAATGTATGGCATAGCCTTGATCTTTCAGTGGGGGCTTCAGGCAAAGTGGGGTTAAGTGTCTTGCCCAAGGACACAACGACAGCAGTCATCAGCGGGAGTCAGTGGAGGTCTCATGATGGGCTCGAACCCACGACCTTCAATGCTCTTTTCAAGGGCGGAAGTGCGAGTATTGGGACTGGGCCAACGAGACACAGGTGAAACACATAAGGGCGGGGCAGACAATCTTCAGAACAGGAAGTAAAACTCAGAGACAAAGGAGAACAGATAATACAAAATAAAACAGTGACAAAAAAGGACAACCATGACAGAAAGAGCCTAGACCCTGAAGAATCAGGAGGTTGACGGATTCTTGATGGATTCTTGGACCTTCTTTTCTGATCCTTTCTTAGATTCTCACTGCAGTAGACAGGAGCACGTCATGTCTCTCTTCTTCATCCTCATTCCAATAGTGCGAGGCTTTTTCCCTTCAGAACTAAATAAATATGTTTGTCTGACGCGACTGGGAGCGACTCAGCGGTGAAATGCTGTGATGTATGAGGACACAGGCCTCACACTCTCCGCCTGCAGCTGGAGAGACGTGTCCTTCTCCACACATCAGCTCAAAACAACACAATCCTCTTCATGAACAACACAATCGCACTTTATGAACAACACAGTCTTTATGCAGCAGAATGGGATCCTCAGAAAGATGTTGTTGTCCATAATAATAAATGTGCCTGCATTTTAGCATCCGACTGTGGAGTTTAGGGAGATGTTTGCACCAATTCAAAATGTAATGCGTGTACCAATAACTCATCTATCTCACTACTTCACTAGACAAGTTTATTTGTATAGTACAGTTCATACACAGGGCGACTCAAAGTGATGAGCAAAACGAGATAGAAACAATCACAATCACACAAGGCATTCAAATAATAAATTATCGCAGCACATTGAAAAGAGTGAAGATAAAATCCCTCATACATGTATGTATGCACAGCTGGATTTGAACATTGTCACTGTCTCACATTTTCATGAAGAAATTTACAGATTAGCTGCATAAATCTGAAACGCTGCCTCCTCATGTTTAGTCCTGACTATGGGACCAGCAGGAGGCCAGTACCTGTGCTCCTCAGAGTCCCAGCAGGAGGTCAGTCCCTGTGCTCCTCAGAGTCCCACTTGGTTCATATGGCCGTATCAAATGCAGTCCTCCTGTGCGTCAGCTTCTGCTCATTCTTCACCATTCGCAGATTTTTTCCACCATTTATTTCTCAATCAGCTCTCGTCTACAACTGGAGCAAAGAGAAACATTTCTAAACAGTTAAAAGCAGTAGGTAGAGAAGTGCCCAGTCTTCAAAGTGCTTTACAGTCTCCTGCGCTTTACGAGTGACGTCAGAATGGTTTCCCCAGTGGTTTTTATGAGGAAACCACTGGAAACTGTGGGATTAAGCAGCGGCTCTGGGAAACTGTGAATCTCAACTGTAAGGATCAGGTTTGGAAGAAAAAGAAAAGTGTTAACCCCTCAATTCAGTGCAATTCAAATCAATTCAATGTATTCTTGTATCACCCTAAATTACAACAGTAGTTATCTCGAAGGATTTTACTAAGCTGTCGATTCGCCAACACAGAACAGAAAATCAAACAGTTCAAACACAAGAAATGCAATGATAAAAAACACATAGGAAGTAGATTTAAACATAGAGCCATTGGTCCATAAGACCAATGCCAATGTGTCCTGGGATGATCCAGGACATATTGGCAGAGACCAATGTGTCCTGGATCATTACCACTGGATCCAACACCAGCCGTTTCTTCAAAAACACCAGAAAATATCTGTCTAATTCTATGTTACTGTGGTTTAGAACCTTAGGTTGCAAAAGCAAAACCTTGTACTTTTTGAGGAGCTCTGTAGTATTGGCCTCTGATGACAATAAGTGACGTGGACAGGGGTGATTTATTTCAGGACAGGGGTGATGTGTTTCAGGACAGGGGTGATTTGTTTCAGGACAGGGGTGATGTGTTTCAGGACAGGGGTGATGTGTTTCAGGACAGGGGTGATTTGTTTCAGGACAGGGGTGATGTGTTTCAGGACAGGGCTAATGTGTTTCAGGACAGGGGTGATGTGTTTGAGGACAGGGGTGATGTGTTTCAGGACAGGGGTGATGTGTTTCAGGACAGGGGTGATGTATTAGAGGACAGGGGTGATGTGTTTCAGGACAGGGGTGATGTGTTTCAGGACAGGGGGGATGTGTTTCAGGACAGGGGTGATGTGTTTCAGGACAGGGGTGATGTGTTTGAGGACAGGGGTGATGTGTTTCAGGACAGGGGTGTTGTGTTTCAGGACAGGGGTGATGTATTAGAGGACAGGGGTGATGTGTTTCAGGACAGGGGTGATGTGTTTCAGGACAGGGGGGATGTGTTTCAGGACAGGGGTGATGTGTTTCAGGACAGGGGGGATGTGTTTCAGGACAGGGGTGATGTGTTTCAGGACAGGGGTGATTTGTTTCAGGACAGGGGTGATGTGTTTCAGGACAGGGCTAATGTGTTTCAGGACAGGGGTGGTGTGTTTCAGGACAGGGCTAATGTGTTTCAGGACAGGGGTGGTGTGTTTCAGGACAGGGGTGATGTGTTTCAGGACAGGGGTGATGTGTTTCAGGACAGGGGTGATGTGTTTCAGGACAGGAGTGATGTGGTTGATGGAGGATGTGTGTGATGATGCACTGTTTTGGACAAGTTGGAGTGTGTGGAGAGTTTTTTTTAAGACCAAACAGAAGGGAATATGAACAGGACTGCCATGCAAGGGACCTCTGTAATAATAATCGTATTTGAATTAATTTGTTATAAATGATTCTTTGGACTCCCCAGGTTTTGTGTTGTATGCTGTCTCCTTTAAAACAGCTTCCCTGCATTGTTTTTTTTTGTCTTCTTTGTCGGTGTGCACCTATAGAGTCTGAATAAACAATGATTATGATTTGCTTATTGTCACCCCAACAATTTGGATTTGATTGTGTTTAATCATGCGGCTCAAATGAAAATCACTGTTTGTTTGAATGGAGATAACACACAAACAAACAGTGAATACATGAATCTGAAATGCAGCCCATAGACTTTGTGAATGAGACCAGAGCGACGGGGGAGACTGACACAGACCTGGAGACTCGCTCTGCATGTGAAATACACCGAGCACCGCAGATATTTATAGACTCTCAAACAGGAGCCAATGTGAACTTTACTGCATTCAGAGGGGACTTGGTTTTCGGCCGTAATGGACAAAAATGTGAAACAGCTTTTTAAGGTGTTAAAAAATGATAAAAACATAGAATAATCTCCTGCCCAACTATACTTTTCCCAAATGCGTGAGATTCTTTGTTTATTTTTTATCCCTATCATACAGCCCTAGTATTGTTCTGAATACAACATGTTATTCCAATGTGAATTTACTACAAAGGGCAAATAAACTGGATCTGAAGACAAAACATTACTTTATTCTAAAAGTAGATTTCTTTAATCTCTTGTAAACCACCCCGTGAATGTTGATCAGAATTATCCGCAAAAACACAATGGCCCTCCCCACATTCTGCCACACAGACACAGAGGTAATGATTTTCCGGGAGTGCAGCCAAAAATCCCATCTGTAATAATCATACACACATTTATATCTGTGCAATTAACCTCTGCATCAACAACCACTCAGCCAGATCCTCATCAGGCTCAACTTTGACAAGACACTTCTTGTTTTAACTCTATTATACAGCGGTGCTTGAAAGTTTACATACAACATTTTCTTATGTATGATAGACACAGTATCATCATATTATGTGTTCTGACTTAATTTGGCTTTACAATTATGTATAACATGCACAAACCATATTAACCTCTTACTGTCAACATTTGCAAGTTTGTAAGATGAAAATGAAGATTAAGCTGTTAGAAGTCCTTTATTGGTCTAACAGTGGGGAAATGTCAGTGTTGCATCACCAGTTTCAGATTAGTTGGAAGAAGGGGCACATTCCAAAATAAACTAACCCATTTTTGCCCAATGGTCCTTGTACCTCCAGTTGGGAAACACTGGTGCGAGGCCTAAAAAGGAAGAGAGAATTGTATTATATTATCTTTGTATTACAAAAGATCCACAATGAGCTAATTGTCATGGTTTAGGTTTATTTCCAGTTTTATTTTGTCATTTGCTATATCTTTAGTTCTACTTCCTGTTTATAATTACCTGCCCTCATGTGTCTCACCTGTGACTCATTAGTCTCATGCGTCTCACCTGTGTCTCGTTAGTCTCATGTGTCTCACCTGTGACTCATTAGTCTCATGCGTCTCACCTGTGACTCATTAGTCTCATGCGTCTCACCTGTGTCTCGTTAGTCTCATGTGTCTCGTTAGTCTCATGTGTCTCACCTGTGTCTCGTTAGTCTCATGTGTCTCGTTAGTCTCACCTGTGTCTCGTTAGTCTCATGTGTCTCACCTGTGTCTCGTTAGTCTCATGTGTCTCACCTGTGTCTCACCTGTGTCTTGTTAGTCTCACCTGTGTCTCGTTAGTCTCATGTGTCTCACCTGTGTCTCGTTAGTCTCATGTGTCTCACCTGTGTCTCGTTAGTCTCATTTGTCTCACCTGTGACTCATTAATCTCATGTGTCTCACCTGTGTCTCGTTAGTCTGTGTCTCACCTGTGTCTTGTTAGTCTCATGTGTCTCGTTAGTCTCATGTGTCTCACCTGTGTCTCGTTAGTCTCATGTGTCTCACCTGTGTCTCGTTAGTCTCATGTGTCTCACCTGTGACTCATTAGTCTCATGTGTCTCACCTGTGTCTCGTTAGTCTCATGTGTCTCACCTGTGTCTCGTTAGTCTCATGTGTCTCACCTGTGTCTCGTTAGTCTCATGTGTCTCACCTGTGACTCATTAGTCTCATGTGTCTCACCTGTGTCTCGTTAGTCTCATGTGTCTCACCTGTGTCTCGTTAGTCTCATGTGTCTCACCTGTGTCTCGTTAGTCTCATGTGTCTCACCTGTGTCTCGTTAGTCTCATGTGTCTCACATGTGTCTCGTTAGTCTCATGTGTCTCACATGTGTCTCGTTAGTCTCATGTGTCTCACATGTGTCTTGTTAGTCTCATGTGTCTCACATGTGTCTCGTTAGTCTCATGTGTCTCACCTGTGACTCGTTAGTCTCATTCTGTGTTGTCCTTCACTCCCTGTTCTGTCAGTGTCCAAGTATGTTTCAGTTCTTGTCCTTGACCCCTGTTTGGATACGTTTTATTCTTTTCTCTGTATTTGGATTTTGTGTTTGCTTTTATTAAATCTATTCTATTTGCAGTTCTGCGTTTTTGGGCTCATTTTATTTTGCCCACATGACACGTATTACACAAATGTGCAGCTCTGTGACTGCTGCCCTGGGGCATCGTGGGTATTGTAGTTCAAAAGGGCAGCGAGGAAGCCCATTTGTGTCAGAGTGTGTTTGTCCACCACAGACATGTGGCTGCGCTCACAGGGGAAGACTTCAGTTTGGATCAGCCACACAGACCCGGGCTTTTCCCTCTCTGTCTGTGGAGCCAGAGCACAATCACAATATCACAATAATATGAATTATCTGAAAGAAACACAACAACAGGAAATGAGCTGTTTGGCTGGATTGGATTAGAGCTCATCACAGATAAACACATAATGGAAATATGTAATAAGATCAGAAAACAGTTTTCTGTAGTCATTGTTGTTTTGATGCATCTTTATATCAGATTTGTGTATGTTAAAGATAACGTGTTTTTAATTAGATGGATAGTCAGACAGATCACAGATCACATACATATTCAACGACACAGAAATAACTAAACTGGATCATCTCTGAATTTAAAGCACTGAAAACACTTTTTGTCCTTCTATTTCATCCTTCTATCTGCGTCTCTCTGCCTCTCCCTCTCTGCCTCTCCCTCTCTCTCTCTGCCTCTTACCCTCTACCTCTCTGTCTCTGCCTCTGCCTCTCTGTCTCTGCCTCTGCCGCAGCTCACATTAGAGCTCTCTGACAGCTCTCAAACGGCTCCAGAGCATTGTTCTGAGGACACTGAGAGTGGGAGATAATTTTCTCCTCTTTAGATTGGGAGGTAAAGAGATTAAAGAAGTTTTGAAGCTGAAGCTAGGGTGTTACGCTAACGATTCAACAGTCCTCTGTAGTTCAAAGAAAAAGCTGATTCTCCCTTTAAAGCACAGATATTAGCCTTCACATATTCATGAAACTGTTTATCTGGAATCTAATTTTTTAGGACATGTAATGATTAAACTAAACAGTTGTAAATTTGGGCTTCTTTTAAAGTGGTTCCTGAGGCCTGTCTCTGTTCTGTGTGAGACCTGGGGGTGGTAGTGGAGGAGCCACATTCAGGTATAAAGTTGAAGATTTCCTTTATTGGTCCCACAGTGGGGAAATGTCAGTGTTGCTGCAGAACAGTAGGAATGAGGAGCACACAGCACAAGATAATTGAAAAAAATGAACAACAACTCTGTACTAAGATTTTAAAAAACAAAACTAAATTTGGCATAATAAAAAAGCAAGTATAAGATTTTTGACTTTAGCATTTGCGGCACGGCGGCTGAGTGGATAGCACTCTCGCCTCTCAGCAAGAAAGTTCGAATCCCGGTCGGACCTCGGCCTTTCTGAGTTGAGTTTGCATGATTGGTCTGGCATGCGCCTCCTGTACTGGCGACCTAACTCCCATCTCTGTGTGGAGTGAGAGACAAATGCCCAATTGTAAACCACTTTGTGACTCTGGTCTGTGAAAGGCGGTATATAAATAAAGATTACTTATTTACTTGTAACAAAGAAGCAAGTTTATCCTTCTGCAGATAGTAGTATGTACTGTTTACATCTGTACATGCTGCAGCATGTGATTTGTAATGAAGATGGTGTGTGGCCTCTGTCACATGGGAAATAAGAATAACCAAAGTCTCAGGACGGATAAAATAAGTTAGTTAAATAATACAAAAAACAAGGCATACAACTTTGAGGCAAGGGAAGTTTATTTGCATAGCACAGTTTATACACAAGGCAACTCAAAGTGCTGAACAAAACAAGATAGAAACAGTCACACAAGGCATTACCATCATAAATAATCACAATACATTAAAAAGATGTATTGTGATAAAATCCCTCAGTCGGCTGCTCAGCTAAACAGAACAGTTTTAACGGGATTTGAACATTGTTAGAAAAGAAGCACATTTCCAAGAAGACTTCCATATTTTAGTTGCATGAATCTGAAACACTGCCTCCTCATGTTTAGTCCTGACTCTGGGACCAGCAGGAGGCCAGTCCCTGTGCTCCTCAGAGTTTGGTGCGAGGCCATGGAGAGAGATGACAAAACAGGAAGTGAAGGACTACACCGCGTTTTTATCAGTGGGGGCGGGTTTTGGCTCAAAAGTGGCTAAAATGACGTGCGCTGACATGCTTGCAATACCACCAGAAGAAGAATTAGCCAATGCTAACATATAGCATTGGCAAATGTTATATGTTTCAGTGCTTTTTTTGGACAACTCTAGTTTACTTGCTGTGAATTTTTGAAGTCTCTCGTTCAAATGAATGGAGCTTTCGCCGGCTGACGCATGCGCAGATGCGTTTTTTCACAATTTTCTTGTGGGCGGGACCACTCGCGGCCATTTTGAATAGCTCCAGTAGAGCACATTTTTTGGCCCATTAGTTAGAACGGCGGAGATAGGCGTGACTCTGTCCATTAATATATACAGTCTATGGTTTTAAAGCACCGTTGACTACTGATGACCGAGAAATCTGTTTGTTGGAGTCAAAATAATAAGTCTATAAGCTTTTCTCTGGCAACAGCCCTAATCACGTAATCAATAACACTTAGGTACGAAGCAGCAATGAATGGGCACGCTTCCTGTTCCTTTGACAACATCACTATATAGACCCCTTGAAACAAATTCAACAATGTAGCGGCTTATCGTCCATCAAGTTCTGCATTCTGATCATCATAAATGTTCTTTAATGCACAACACAATGAGATATGTAATAATAGCCATTCTCTGAGACATGGATTGTGAGAGTTTTATATTTGACCCAGGCTCCACTCCAGTGCGGCGCCAACCAAATGAGCTGTGGCTGTAATTCACATTATAATGAAGAATAGATTGGCTGTTCATGGTGTTGTCTAAAGACGCCGTGAGGAGGAGGAGTCTGTGTGTGCCAAGCTTTTTGCACTAAAGTGTGGATTCATTGAAAACTGATTAAAATCTGACAGTTGTAAGAGTTGTAGGTTGCCTTATGGCCATTTTGAAAAAGTCGACAGAAGGCAAAAGTGGTGGTACATTAGTTTCAACGGCGGAGATAGGCGTGGGGTTTGTTAATAATTACAAATTTATAGTTTAACCTGCTGTGCCACTTGTAGCCTTTGTCCAGATATTGTAATACATCAATCCAAAAAGCTGGAACCAGATACTTTGAGATTTGAACTGAACAGATCTGAGAAGGTCTGGATACTGGATTCTGTCTGGAACCCAATGCCGACAAGCGCTATATCCCAAAACAACATTTCTATGCGACCTGCTGCTACTGCCGTGGAAATAATTGGCTCTAACCTATTTGTGCTGCGTCCTCACAACAGACGAGCCACGCTAACGCAACTGACGCACACACAATCACAGGTATGGATCACAACACAATCATTCTCCAAACGACGAATCCTCTCTCTGGCATTTCTCTGGTCTGTGAGCCAAATGGGGACTTTAGTACTTGCTTTAGTTCTTGTATCTGTGCTGCTACAACAGGAACCTTAGCTCTTACACTTTCATCTCAGCTCCAGAGGTCTGCCAGGATCTGGTGGCGCCATAACAATCAGAATCAGAATCATTTTTATTGCCAACGTAAGTAACGGGAGGTCACAGACTTGGAAATTGCTTTGGCTCAGTGCAACAGTCAGAAAGAGATAATAAAAATAAGAACAACAATAATAATAATAATGCATCAGTTTTATGTAACACTTTTCTGGACCCTCAAAGACGCTTCACATGTCATTATTCTTTCACTCCAATCATAGTGGTGACAAACTACTACTGACAGAAGCGAGACAACAAGTCTGTGCCATCGGCCTCCCGCCACCAACCATTCACACACACACACACACACCAGACTCATTCTAATGTGGGTGAAGTGTCTTGCCTAAGGACACAACCACAGTTTGACACTTAGCAGCAGCACCCCACTGGTCTCCCATCACAGTACTAACCAGGTTCTTTCCCTTCTGAGCTTCAGAGGTGTGGCGGGATCTGGCTTTCACCAGTTTTCCCCCATGTCAAAATGGTCTTTGCCTCAGTTTAAGGGTTAGTGTAAAGTCAGTTCTCGATGAACTCGCTGGTCTTACTTCTGGTTCTTCTGGTTTGGAGCAGTGGTTCTCCTGGTCTGGAGCAGTGGTTCTCCTGGTCTGGAGCAGTGGTTCTCCTGGTCTGGAGCAGTGGTTCTCCTGGTCTGGAGCAGTGGTTCTCCTGGGCAGTGGTTCTCCTGGTCTGGAGCAGTGGTTCTCCTGGTTTGGAGCAGTGGTTCTCCTGGTCTGGAGCAGTGGTTCTCCTGGTCTGGAGCAGTGGTTCTCCTGGTTTGGAGCAGTGGTTCTCCTGGTTTGGAGCAGTGGTTCTCCTGGTCTGGAGCAGTGGTTCTCCTGGTTTGGAGCAGTGGTTCTCCTGGTCTGGAGCAGTGGTTCTCCTGGGCAGTGGTTCTCCTGGTCTGGAGCAGTGGTTCTCCTGGTTTGGAGCAGTGGTTCTCCTGGTCTGGAGCAGTGGTTCTCCTGGGCAGTGGTTCTCCTGGTCTGGAGCAGTAGTTCTCCGTCTGCAGGACCAGAGGAAGCTTTTGAAGTGTGTTCTATTCTTACATTCTGGTTATATTTAGTTCCGGCGTGTCGTTGCTTTTGCTCCATAATTGTGGAACAGTCTGCAGCTGGTCTTCGATTCAAAAAGTCTGTTTGAAGACCTGTGAAAAGGCAAAACGTGAACTCAACGCTGATTATTGTTCCCATCTTAATCCTGACAAGAGGACAATCATATTTTTCTATAGAGCACAAACAAGATCAAAGACCCGCCTTAAAGTTATACTACAATAAAATACTTAGAGGTGACGTCACCCAATTCTGCATAAATCTCTCTCTCTCTCTGGTCTCTCTCTCTCTCTCTCTCTCTCTCTCTCTGGTCTCTCTGGTCTCTCTCTCTGGTCTCTCTCTCTCTCTCTGGTCTCTCTCTCTCTCTCTCTGGTCTCTCTCTCTCTATCTGGTCTCTCTGGTCTCTCTCTCTGGTCTCTCTCTCTCTCTCTGGTCTCTCTCTCTCTATCTGGTCTCTCTGGTCTCTCTCTCTGGTCTCTCTCTCTCTCTCTGGTCTCTCTCTCTCTCTCTCTGGTCTCTCTCTCTCGCTCACTAAGACACTGGCCCACACGCCTCTTGTCTGCTCACTTTGTGCTGAAGTCCTCACTCCTTCATATTGAGTGTCGCAAAATTTAGCTGTCTTTTTTTATTTTTTCTGCTACAAAAACATTTGCTTCTTCCAAATGACATTTTGATGCGATGACAGCTCACTTCATTTTCCAATTTCAACTTTGACAGAGAAATCTAATCTGTGTGAATAATGATAATTGTTACATCTGCTGCTTCTGAGAATATAACATTTATTATTGAGTCACTACAGATACTTCTGGTTCTTATATTTTATAATTGGGAATGGGATTTTTTTAATTATATGATTTGGATGTTTTTGATCAGGAGTAATATGTAGTACTTTGTTAAATCGCTGTACATGTTTGCAGCATGAGGGTCTGGGATGAAGTGACAGTGGACACATGAGGTTCTATATTGCACATTTTTACTATATTTCAAATTATTGCACAGATGCACGACATGTGAGGTCAGTTCGGGGAAGTTTATCTGAGAAAATGTGTGATGTATAACATGCCATGGAAGTTCTTTACCATCTGCTGCAAGTTAATAAGATCATCAACAAACGTGTTAGGGGTCCACTAGAATAGTTTTGTTTGACACGCCTGACCTCGCGGATTAGCATTGTCCATCTATTTGCAGTGTGGCCCCCTGCACAGACAGCATTGGCCCCCAGCCCGTAGCACCTGCAGTAAACACATGTCCCTGAGCGCGGCACTAATGAGGCCCTGGGATCTGCTGCGTCTCCGGATCATCCACAAGCAACACCTCGCTATTCTCATCACGCCGTCGCTATCGGCTGCTGGCGCTCTCGCTTTGTCACCGAGGTCAGACAGACGCTGGCATTACAAAACACTTTCTACCCATTAAAGATGATAGAGACTATTTACTTTGTCTTTTTTCAGGTTTTAGCGTGTAGAATAATATATTAGGTAGAAATTGTAAGGTTTAGTATGAAGGGCAATGCCCGCCTGTAACTCCCCATCTTACCACCAGAGGGAGGAGTTCAATTCCATTTCAATTCCATTTATCTTTGTATCGCCCCAAAATCACAACAGTAGTTTTCTCTGAGGACTTTACAAAGCTGTCGATTCGCCAACACAGATCAGAGAATCAAACGGTTAAATCACAGAAATGCAATGACAAATGATGCAAACACACACAGCCATTGGTCCATAAGGGGCAGGGACCAATGTCCATAAATGTGGTTGAATGTGAAGTGTCCTGGATCATCACTGACCATTAACTCCTGCATCAGAAGAACAAACTAGTGGGAGAAAGTGAGAGACTTCAGAGAGGCCCACATTGAGGGAGGGATCCGCTCCCACGGACGAACTGTCTATCCAGGACTGAGGCTGTAGATCCAGGACTGAGGCTGTAGGTCCAGGATTGAGGCTGTAGATCAGGTGTGGCCAAACTTTTTGCTTCCAAGGGCCAAAGGGAAAATGTGCCAGTGGGCCTGCATTAGTTTTTGTCTATCAGTGCAAATCAAATGCTAAATGAAAACAAAACAACACAGCCTAACAGCATAAAGACATATACTCTAATCACAGAACAGCTATAAAGTGGGTCTACAATGCAATATTAGCAAAATGCTGCACTTTTGGGTGTTCCCGAAAAGTTACAGACATGCCCTTTAATTTTGGCGCAAGACGGCAGCAGCAGGGTGTCAAATGCACAAAAGACGTAACTTATGATAAACTAGCAATAGAATTAACTTTGAACAATAAATTATCAAGCAAAACCAAACATTAGACATTAGAAATCACAAATGCTAAACTGAGATTGAAAAAACACGAATAAAGTCTGTAAAGTAAAAACACGGACTGTAGCAGGTACATTTTTGCACTTCCTTTCTGGTCATTAACGCACACTGATCATAGATCCATGACACGGAGACACAGGGAACAAAATGAAAGCAGCGCATTCGGCTGCAGTGTTGCTCTGACAAAAGGCCTAAATAGGTCTAAATATCTGAGGCCCAGAGAAGGGATCATTCTCCACATCTTAGATTAATCATATTAGTCTGATTTATTGCCTGTGGCTCGATAATGACGCATATTTTCCTTTCCGCTTTTCTGCAGAGTCTCATTCGCTCCTCTGCAGACACAGTTCTGGAATCTCACCAAACATTCTGGAATCTCACCAAACATTCCCGTCATATCTGTTTTAAAGATGTTTGGTGCAAAAACTGTTGTTGTAGATATCAAACACTTTCCATCTGTTGTTGTTTTATGTGTTGCTGTGGGTCCAGTTTTGTTTTAATCATTAGCTGTGTGTCGTACTGATGCACTGCTGCTGGAACCACTGGAACCTTCTGACCCGTGTTGATTCATAACAGTGGAAAAGCTCTGCGTCTTGTTTGAACCTGTGTCACGTTACACCACACCTGTGTTACGGTTGCTACTGGTACAGAAAAAGTGCAATTTGTTTGGTGCCATTTTTCTGCCATTTTAAGATGGAAAATCAATTGGAAACACATTTCTCTTGTGGTTTCTAGCGGATTCGTATTGATTTCATTTCCAAAAGAATGCAGTCAATGTTAATGTGTCTGTTTAAGGTGAATTCCACCATTTTTAAATCAAAATGGCCGTAGAAAGTCAGAACGGGGTCACAGCAATGGGAGGAAATATTAAAGACAAAAGTGTAAAGAAGGTAGTTTATGCTTTATTATTTTTGCTTTATTACCACATACTCAGACTTCGTCAGAAGAGACACCAGATGGTGTTATGTCTCAGATCAGCTGTTGTTACCGGATCCTCAGACGGGCCACGCCCCCTCAGTCTGACTACTCCCCCCTGTGGTCTCTGGAGAAGTCAGTCCCAAGTGTGAGCCAAGGTGAAGGCCCCCTCGTCTCTGTTGATGCTCTGTGCACCCGGCTTTAACCGTGTCTCGTCTCCACCTGTTGTAATTATGTTCTTCTGTTCCTACATCGTTCCGGGTCCATGATGTGATGTTCTCTTCTGCAGTGGTCATGTGGTGTGTTGCTGATTGGAGGTTTTCCTGTGTTGCTTTGTCCTTAGTCCATCTTGTTAGTTGCGCCATGTGGTGATTAAGCAGAACCAATTTCTTTACACTTTTGTCCTATAAGAACCCTCTAAGCCTTAAACATTAAGCACATGAACTTATTACATTTAGTAGCAGTTTGTTGACATCACTCGTTTCCACACACATGTATTTTTCATGGATTTCAGACTGAAATGTTGAAGAGAGTGGACCACCCTCACTCGGCCAATCAGTTCTCAGTCCTAAGTGATTCAGCAATTATTTGTGCTGTATTATTTATGTGGAAAGAAAGTTAGGTTCCTCAACTTTAATAGCCCACAACAAGTGTTTTGTGTGAATGAATAAGTAAGTGGTCTGGGGAAGCTTTAACCGCACCTCTGCTTCAGCCAATCAGGTGTCAACAATCATTCGACAACAATGAATAATGAATTATACGGAACCTTTTAAAAGACTGAATAATGCAAGGCCCCTCTAAGCTGTCTAAGCTGAGAGCTGTCAGGGAGAAAGACCAGAAAGAGACCAGAGAGAGAGACCAGAGAGAGGGAGAGACGAGAAAGATTGACCAGAGACCAGATAGAGACCAGAGGGAGTCCAGAGAGAGTCCAGACAGAGCCCAAAAAGATACAAGAGAGAGCGACTAGAGAGACACCAGAGAGAGTCTAGAAAGAGACCATAGAAACCAGACGGAGACCAAAGAGAGACCATGGAGGCTAGTGAGAGACCAGTCAAGGCGCTCTGTCGGAGAGGGGCTACATGCACAGGTTAATTTGTGTGTTTACATTCTGTCTGGTGTCAAAGAGCATCAGTGGGAGAGGAGGAGACAAAGCACCCTCAGGGGACCACATCCACACACACCTGCTCCCACACACACCAATCAATACACATACGCATGCACGCACACACACACACACATACACACACACACACATAAACACACACGGGACCCAGGGCGAGTATGTGACAGGTGTAAGCAGGAGATTAGAACATGGGGGAGATAATGATACAAGACATGTCCATAAACTGCTAAGGTTTACCGTCCAGATTGACGGATAGATGATACAAGCACATGAGCAGAGCTGCTTTAAAGATGCATATATTGTGAACAAGTACAAGTCTGAATAAAGCCAACAGTAAGTCTTCAAGTCTGAGGTTAATGTTAAACTCTAAGAAAATGCATTCATCTCATATTAATGTGAAAATAACTACTTCCACAGTCGCTAAAAATAACCAAATGTGAATATTCGCTGCAGCGTCAACACTCTGAGCTGTGATCGCCTCAGGTTTATGAACCGTCATGTTTCAGTGAAAGATGAAGTTATGAGAAACTATGTGTGAGTCTGTTTCAACAAGGGATTAGACTGAACAACTATCAACATTATTTTTGTGTAATGTGGCCTGTAAACATGAACATTTAATCTACTCGGCTTGATTTATATAATATTGATATAAAAAATGTTTCAGACAGCACTTTTTGGACACTCAATAACATGTCATTATTCATTCACTCCAGACACACAGATGACAAAGCCACAGCTGTCCTGGGACATACTGACAGAAGTGAGGCAAGCTGCAGCCGCCCCACTGTGGCACCTGGTGTTCCCTGAGGTCTCCCATCACTGCACTAACTAGGCCCTGCCCTGCCCAGCTTCAGCGGTCTGACAGGATCTGGCTTTCACATAGAGGAATTGTCACCGATCAACACAGTCTAAAATACGCAACAAACTCAGAAAATTATAGTACCTGACAGTACTCTACCTGACCTAACTCTACCTACTCTACCTGACCCTACTCTACCTGACCCTGCTCTACCTGACCCTGCTCTACCTGACCCTGCTCTACCTGACCCTGCTCTACCTGACCCTGCTCTACCTGACCCTACTCTACCTGACCCTGCTCTACCTGACCCTGCTCTACCTGACCCTGCTCTACCTGACCCTGCTCTACCTGACCCTGCTCTACCTGACCCTGCTCTACCTGACCCTGCTCTACCTGACCCTGCTCTACCTGACCCTGCTCTACCTGACCCTGCTCTACCTGACCTACCTCAACACACATCCATAGCAACAACACAATAGAAGTGTGTTGTTGCTACAGAAGTGTGTTGTTGCTATAGAAGTATGTTGTTGCCATGGAAGTGTGCTGTTGCTGTAGCATTATAGCAATGTTGGGGTTAGGGTTAGGGTTAGGGTCTATAGCAACAACACACTTCTATAGCAACAACACACTTCTATAGCAACAACACATGTCTACAGCAACAACACACTTCTATAGCAACAACACACGTCTATAGCAACAACACAGTCTATAGCAACAACACACCTCTATAGCAACAACACACTTCTATAGCAACAACACACTTCTATAGCAACAACACAGTCTATAGCAACAACACAGTCTATAGCAACAACACTCTTCTATAGCAACAACACAGTCTATAGCAACAACACTCTTCTATAGCAACAACACACTTCTATAGCAACAACACAGTCTATAGCAACAACACACCTCTATAGCAACAACACACTTCTATAGCAACAACACACTTCTATAGCAACAACACTCTTCTATAGCATCAACGCACTGCTGACTTTGGTTCTATAAATAGCTCCACACTGGGCACAGTTCTTGGCACATCTCACATATATTTTCATAAATCGTTCGCATCACAAACGCATGAATTTGTCTGATTGTGGCTCGCGGACTCTGTGAGCGGCTGCAGACATGTCCTTATTAAAATGTGTCTTTGTTTTACGCTATTTATAGCAATCGTGTGGCGCGGGCCATGATACACACGCTAACGCTACAGCCGCATGTGAGCGCCTTTCTCTGAGGGTAATATAGATGTGGAGAATATAGGCGACCTGACTATTACTGCGATGTTGTCAGAGATATGTGAGCCCTGTACAGCGAGATTCTAATGTGGCTTCATGCATTTATCCATTTGATTTCATTCATTTGTTTATTTTAATGATAATGAGTGATTTCATAGTCAATTCAATATCAAACATGCTTACATAAAGAACAAATTCATATCACTGCAAAAAGTGATCAAATATGGGGTAGTAAATGCTTCAATCAAGTTTTTCTCTTAATTTGAGCACATCCTGACTGTGTTAAAACAAGATTTGCCAATGAAAGAAAGTTATTCAGTCTTATTTACCTTAACTTACCTTTACCTTTTCTTGTCCTTGTTCCAGTGCTGCCAGGGAGAGGGGTTCTCACCAGTCGCTACGGGATCAAGCAGCTCCGCTTCCAGTCGAGATGGTTCCCGGACGATTGCCTTAATTCTACACGAGCGGAAGTACGGACCCACAGACTGGTTTTTCTTCACAGCGACAGCGTGTCCCGTACAGATCAGATGTGAATATTTTACTAAGATAGAACTATGTTTGGGTGTACTGTTCTAGTCAGGCTCTGCTCCTGCGCAGTTGGCCCTGAAGCTGTTTTTTTAAAAACTTGTTTCGTATGTTTGTCGACCAAACGGGGGCCGGCCGTGGGGCCAGTGGGACTCGGGACCCCAGGGGGACCCCGGACCCCAGAGGATTCCGGACCCCAGGGGACCCCGGACCCCAGGAGACTCCGGACCCCAGGGGGACAGTGGACACTATAGGGTCACAGCCAAGGAACACACAGGGCTCTCACTGCAAAAGAGGATAAGAAGAGATTCATTGGTGAGATTGATCCTATTCTGAGTTTTATTATATTTCCCAATGGAACAAGCAGAAATGTCTTATTCTTATTTATTTTAGTTTTTAGAGTTTTCAACCAAGCTCTAAGAAATACATTGTTGTGTTTTTATTGATGAAGTCAATTGAGTAACAAGATGCAACAACCATATTGATTGATTGAATGTATTTATTGATTGATTGTTTTATATGATAGTGCACACAATCAACACGTGAAACACAACAACATTTAAAGCCAAAGTCTGTACCTCGTCCATCTTTGTTCTTCTACAGCAGAGAAAATGGACGTCTGACAGTATATCATATAGTATACAAATGGCTGGTGTAGAAGAATCCAATAACTTTATTGATTTAACCTTCCTAAATAAGGTGGCTGAACTTGAATCTAACATTTTATTTAATCTATCTATAGTATAAAATCTCAAGTTCGTGTTTCAGAGTCCAAAATTAACTGGAATAATATTAATAATATTTGACTTTTCACTGAAGCTGCTTGTTCCGTTGGCAAATACTGTTTTTCGACTCTCAACTTAAAAAAAACAACTTTAAAAAAGGATTCTTGTTTAAAATTGAGCCAAATCTAGCAATGAGAATGAACTTCTTTCTTAAACATTGTTTGCAGTGTGAGCCTCATTCAAAACGATGTCACACGTCACTAAACTGCTCAGATTATTCAGCTGCTCGTGCTGGTCCTCAACATCTGTCCGTTTCTGTCACACAGACCAAACCAGAGAAGCCTTTAACCAGACGGAATAACCACGTACATTTACAATCTCTTCAATATTAATTCATTTGGCATTGTTTAGTACATTTTACAGGTAATTGAGTTGTGGAGGAACAGAAGGACGCCCTTGGTTTGACTGTGAATTGGGAAAAACAATTTTTAAAAGTATGTATTTTACTATTATAATATTGATGAGTGAAGTTACTACAGAAAAAATCACACACACCTTTAGTGAGAAACACATCCTCTTTATTATTACGTTTATATTTATCTTTTTGACGTTAGCACTTGACAGTCCACTGTCCCCCTGCTGCTCATGTCACTTTGATCTAATCTGATCTGAACCATGATACACACACATATACAGATAAATGCTCTTACATGCACACGCACGCACACATGCATACTTACACGTACAGCATGCACACATACAAACACACACACAGACGCACGTACACACAGACACACACACGCACATACACACACACACAGCAGTGGTTCTCAAACGGTGAAGCACATACCTCTTATCTCATTGATTCTCTCAAATTTTGTACCTTAATTTCTGCGAAATTCCCTTCATTATTTTATTATTTTGGCCTCATTTTTGTTTGATTTGAAATTGGAATTGTGAACCCAAAACGTCAATCCATCCATCAAATTTCCCGAGTCCCTAATGTCAATAGTAAATACATTACATAAACTTAATTACATAGAATGAAATCTCACTCTTTTTCCTAATCCATTTATTAGACTTTTGAAGAATACAACTTTTGAAAATCAAAAGTCAAAATTATGACTTTGTTTGAACATGGCAGAAACGGGCTTCTAAAGTAATGTACATTTTTAGGTAAAACTCTAAACTAAAATATGAAAAAAATAGGTATAAAAAAGCAAGTATAAAATCACATAATGATAATACTTCACCTACAAAACGAGCACACGATGTTCTGTTTTAGTAAATATGGGAAAACAACAATTAAACAAAAAAAATAATAACAAAACAAAAAGTTCTTTGCGGCCGTTTGCGAACCACTGCCCATATCAAAGATGTCAGACACGTCAGTCCGCGGTCGTTCCTCCTTCCTCTACGTATGCAAAGCACCATGGACGCGTCTCTATTTTTTTAAACCTAGCCTTGATACTGACATAACCAAAGTTTGGATTTCTCGTTACGTCGTGCGTGGACCTTTGGAACATGTTGTGATGTAGATGCACACTGATAGAAACCATGTAAATAGCTGTTTTTACCTGTGCCACTGCAAACCTACCAAAACATGTCTAAGCGAGTTACAATGATAGACTATGATGTTTTCTTTTTCAGTAGGTTTGGCTTGACTAGTTAAGCTCATGGAACAACGTTTTTCCCAGTTTCAAGGGCAAATGTTTCCTAAGTTTAAGCTGCGGCAGTGCTTGCTAACTTCTTATTCGGTGGTCATTTGTGGCCCCCTAGTGGACATCAAACTTTAACGTCAGTGCAGCCCCCACTGAGAGTCTGGGCTAATATATTATACTGTACATTGTTTAAAGCTAAATGTATCAATAAAGCAGCCATTTATTTTTCCATAAACGTTGAACCCAAAATGCAGTTAGCAACAATTCAAAGGTAACTTTATTAAACTCAGTCTACAGTACAAAGCATCGTTGCTATTTGATCCAGTTTCGTTTCAGCTGGACTCCTTCTATTCATAGAGATATATAACAATTATATCAAACTCATATTCAATAAAAGTCAGTATTTGGTCAAATTCCTTCATGATTATAAAAATGTCATGTGGTGAAGCGATGGAAGGACCCAAAATACATATTTAATGAACATAAAAGTCAAGCCAGTTTCAAACTTGTTGTTCGTAGTTGACCTTTATTTAAATAAACTTAAATAAGGCAAACATACAAACTTGAAAAAAAAAGTACCACTGAGGGCCTGCAGATGTACCCGAACCCCACATCAGGAATCACTGTTAATTACACATGGGCTCTCTCCTCTCGACTCTCCACTGGTCTTCAGTGTAGAAAAACGTTCTGTGGAGCGTTCCCAACAAAAACATCTGAGCCAAAGGCAGAGTTTCCAGCTGTTATTTCATCTTTAATTAAGTATTTTTACTCAGTTCCAATAAAGATATGTTTCTTGAGAAAGAAGGTCAGTAACATGAGTCATAAAAACTCGCTGTGATATAGTTTTTGTTGTTTGCAGTGATGTGTCCTTGTGTCGCAGATAAATCTATTTTTGTTATTTTATTTTGGGTTCTTTTGGACTGTTATGACCCTTCCATGTTGGGTTTACTTAGTTTGTTCTCCACACACACATTACATACACATACACACACACACATACACACAACACACACAAACACACACACACACACACACACACAGGGGTCTGTGTATCCACGGTAACAACATGGGAGAAAAATTTCAAACTTTGGCTCCTGGACATGTGCCACAGTGTATGAAGCTGCAGAGTTCCTGTCAGAGGTTCCAGTATGAATTTATATAATACATTATATTTGGATTCAGATTCAGTAGAAAGGTGGTAGGAGGCTGATCAGCTTTGCCAGGCAGTCAAACTCAGGCCCACGGGCCAAATCCGGCCCACGGAACCAGTTTTAGTGGCCCATGAATTTCATATGAT